ATGACCATGATCTCACACTTGTGTTAGACTAAAAACAAAAAATGATTAAAAAAAAAAGTGGTTGGCTTTTCTTTTTCATTGTGTTAAAGTAGCTTGACACGTTGAGTACATTTACTTCATTTTTTATAAAATGCAATAATGCAATATTTGAATGTTTCTGTTAATACTGACACTTTAATATTTGGCAAATATTTTTGCTATAGTGTCCTCAATTTCATAGAGTTTATGTTTTAAGGAATGTTTTGTTTGTTCCAGGATTGATTGATTGATTTTTTTTTATGTTTGGGAAATATATCTAAATAGTAAGAATAATGAAAGATATCTAACCATATATATATATATATATATAACAGAAAATTATCATAATTTTTTATGTTTTTATATAATGTATAACTATATTTACATATAGTAATATAATGCACAAGTCATATGCACTACTTAGATGATGCAGTTATTTTCTTTTGTCATATTTCCTATTGTGCTGCATGGAAAAAAAGAAAATTGGATTTGGAATGATATTAGGATTAGTACATTTTATTCTGTCACAACTTTCACTTTTTTCCTCAAAGGGAGTTGGATGATGAGATTTCAGCTGACCTGGAGGATGAGGTAAGATTTTGGATCCACATTAATTAGAAAACAAATGCCATATTCTTTAGACTTTTTAATAAACGTGGCTCCTTTGTAGGCAGAAATTACAGAGGATGATATTGATGACTCTTTCAAGTCCTTGTTTGCCCAGCTGGCTGGAGAGGTGAATAAATATATAAAACCGTGGTTTTCTATTTTAGCTCTGCTGGTGTTAGAACATTGCATTTAAATATTAACATTTGAACATTTTTTTTCTTGTTTTAGGATATGGAGATATCTGTCCATGAACTCAGAACTATTCTCAACAGAGTAGTGTCCAAACGTGAGTAACGCTATTTTGCCTACACTTGGGGTCAACGCAGTCAAAACGAACCTGTTTATCTGATTTGAATGAACTGTTTCTCTCTCAGACAAGGATCTAAAGACAGATGGCTTCAGCATGGAGTCCTGCAGAACTATGGTAAACCTCTTGGATGTATCCTTCACTATTTAAAAGAGTATTCTGGGGTTAAATACAAGTTAAAGGTCCCCTGAAATGCTTAGAAACACGCAGCTGTTGTGTTGACGTCATTTTAACTGAAACAGGAAGACAGGGCGGGACATATCAAGCAGCCCCGCCCCTTTTTAAAATAGCCAATAGCGTTCGTTTATATCATAGCTTGGGCTAGAGCCGTTGAGCTCCGTAAAGCCGCATTTGACAGGGTATGCCAGCCACAATCTCATCCATATTGCTAGCATTCTGTGTAGAATTCAAATAGCTCCGATACATTTTGTGGTCTGCGCCGACTCGCGCATGTGATCCGCTCCATGCTATCGTGTCTCTGGACCGGAGTAGAGTGTGTGTGCGGTGCGATGGTTAGCGTGACACAGCGCGAAACCAGACTTCTTTTTTTCCTCAATGGAAAGCATATTTACACTGTTTGAATCGTTCCCTGTCCCCTATATAGTGCACTACGTGCCATTCACTGTACAGAAAATACTAATTCTGTGGACAAGTGACCGATTTCAGCCGCGGCTTCAGCGTCTATTTTATAGTGTAGGGGGTGGGTGCTTCGGATTCTAGAGAGCATTTGATTGGACAGAAAGTTTGATGAGAAGCTGAAGTACGATGTGACGTCAAAAAAATTGTTGAGCCGTTTTGGCAGAAGTGACAAACTAAAAACTTTCATTTTGATTTCATGGGGACTTTAAGGTCTATTAACAGCATCTCTGTCATTCTCTCGATTACTATGGAAAATCATTTTGACTCGTTCTTGAGTTGGTAAAAACAAACAACAATCCTCTTTACATTCATGCAAATACAGTGGAAGTCTGAATTTCAGAAATTCTGGATGTTTAAAAGCAGAAACCTGAAGCTCATAGGCTATGTTTATTGGCTTTAAATGCCGATGACAGCTAATATTTGTGCACAAAGGTTAGCAGAATATGTTAATAAGAAGCATTTATTCTGGTACATTGCCTTGCTAAATTATTTTCTGTGATAAGTAACATCTGATCAGTTGTGATCAGACAACGTGTATCTGTTTTTACTCTTGACTCTGTTCATCAGAAAGATGGTAGTGCACGGTTGGGTTTAGTAGAGTTTCAGATCCTCTGGAACAAAGTAAGGAAGTTACTGGTGAGTGTCTTAGGTCAGCCTTTTTTTAATTAATTTCACACACTATGAAATGTTCATAGCTTCTTTAGTACAGTGTTCAAAATAATTATTCATGCTTTCCTTTTCTCAGGGGATCTTCAGAGAGTTTGATATTGATAAGTCAGGGACTATGAGCTCTTATGAGATGCGTCTGGCTGTAGAATCAGCAGGTAAAAGAGACATTCATTTCATTAAAGTGGTGCAAAAACTTGAATGAATTGAGATAATTTACTTGTCATGAGTCAGGATTTTAATATTTCATTTTTTTTTTAAGAACTTAATATTTTTTATTCAGCAAAGATGCATTAAATTGGTCAGATGTGACAGTAAAGACATTTATAATATCACAAAAGATTTATATTTCAAATAAATACTGTTCTATTCATCAAAAAATCCTAAAAACAAATTGCAATGGCTGCTGAAAATTCAGTTTTGCCGTCACAGGAACAAATTACACTTAAAAATATTCAGTATCGCAATATTACTGTTTTTACTGTATCCTAATAGTGAGCATAAGACTTAAAATATTATACGTTACATTACAAAAATATTTTCAACCCCAAATTTTTCAATGATGTATATATAAATTAGTCTCTCTGAAAGACCCGTCCTGTCATCCTGTACACTTTCTTTACAGGCTTTAAGCTCAATAACAGACTCAACCAGATTCTTGTAGCCAAATACGCTGAGAACGAGGTAATCGATTTTGATAACTTCGTCTGCTGCTTGATCAAACTGGAAGCCATGTTCAGTAGGTGTTTCTTTTTGTATTGCATGGTGGCTCTTAATATATTTTTTAAACATACCCAAAATGCTTTATCCCAGCTTGGTTTTCATGGCCTTGCACTTCCTTGTAGGATCTTTTCAGAAGTTGGACAAAGATGGAACAGGAACGGCTGAGATGAACCTATCTGAGGTGCTCTGGCTTGATTTCATTTCAGTCAAATGTTAAAACAAACCATCTGCAAAACACTAATCTCTCATTGTACTTTTGTTGTGTAGTGGCTCTTCATGACCATGTGCGGTTGAGGTAGACCATTTCATGAACGTCCAACTCAAGAACCTGCTGGAAAGTGCCTCAATGCTGAACTCATGCAACAATGCCACTATAACCTCATTAGAATACAGTGCTACTAGATTTTTAAGGATTTCTTTTTCTCTCAATATTACATATTGCAGTTACACTACAAAGAAAACCCCTGTAGTGTGAAACACAAGAAAGAGGACCTCCACTCAATGCTGCTGTAATGACTGATGGAATGGCTGAGAAACATCATGTGCATGGGATAAATATCAAGTGAGCTTCAGGTTTTGTGTTTTGTCCTAACAGAACTTTATTTCAAAAGGCTGTCTATGAATAGTGCCATAGGGGGGAAAAAATAAACCACAGCACTGCATGTTCTCCTATAAGGTGAACTTATGCATCCTATTAAAAAAGCTTTAGATGCACAATGCATAATTGTGTAGATATTGTCACTGATTTCCTATGAACCAGAGCTTCAGAATAAACTGCTGTTATACTAAACTTGCATAACAAACATATGTTATTAAAACAAATCCTAAAACCTGAAATGTTCTTACAAGTCATATTGGAGCATTTAATGGCGATTTGTGTGGAATTTAATTTTTAAGCCTGTTTATGTTAGTAATTTTGAATTATCAAACAATTCGGACTTTTTTGCTCAAAATTCTGATAAAAAATGTCAGAATTGCAAGATATAAATTCACAGTTCTGAGGAAAAAAGTCAGAATCGCAATATATAAATTTACAAGTCAGGGGGGGAAAAATCAGAATTGCAAGATATAAACTTAAATTTCTGACTTTTTTACATTTCTGAAGTTTACATCTTGCAGTTCTGACTTCTTATTCTGAATTCTGAGTTTACATCTTGCAATTCGGTTTTTTTTTTCTGTTCCATTTCAGTTTTTTCTTCAGAATCAAAAAATAAAAAAGTAATTGGAACTTTATCTTAGAATTCCTATTTCTCCCACAATTCTAACTTTTTCAGAATTGCAAGTTTATATTTCACAATTCTGAGAAACAATTTTGTTTTATAAACTCGTTGTGAGAATTGTGAGAAAGAAAAGTTGCAATTACTTTTTTTTTTGTCGCATGGTGGAAAATGGCACACTTTAATCCAGTTTATGTACCATTCTCTACGAAATCACATGTAATAACTATAGCAAATAGTATTACAAAGTTTCATCCACATATTTTATTACAAATAATTCCACATTAATCATGAAAGCTAATTTCCTGAATGGCATGAAGAATTGTTGTTATATTTACAAAGATAAGTAGTTAAATACAGGAGACATATTTTAGGATTTGCCCTCCCAGAATACAAAAACACCAATTTAAACAAATCGCTGAGCAATGGCTAACAGTTTAGAGTATTCCCCCTCCATTTTGCGCAGATGTGTTGGTATAGGAGCTTTTATTCTTGTTCCTGTGGGGTTTCCATTCTCTTCGATCAAAACCACGTTATTTGAGTCGAAGCGTGGGGTCATTCGAGCTCCAGGCATCTTGTGACCCACTATGAGAGCTTTTTTCTTCTGTCCTTTAATGGCCAGTAAGACTCTGTCTCCCACTTTACCGATTCCATTCTTGGTGTATACGTGAATGACTTTTGGTGGACGGTGGTGATGGGCATTTCCAAGAGCACTGTTGTCGACCACCCTCACGCGTGTTAACTTCTGAATAGCGGCCACAGCTGCTGAGACACTGCAGTGAGATGATAATATGATGGTTTTGAACTGTCAGTGCTACATGACAAGTCAACACATTTAAACAAAAACATTTAAATAAATGATTTTACATTTGTTATTTTAATTATTCATATATCATGTCTAATGTACTGATATAAGCAGTGTATATCACATAATTTCTGAGAAACTCGACCACTAATCATATATCCAGAGCAAAACATTTGAATTCTGATGTGTGGTAGCTAGTTTATAACTATTGGTTTAGAAATCACCCTAGATAACAAAACCAGGGTGCCCACACTTGCTGACCAATATATTTCTGCAGTCATTCGTGATTATAAATGATCGTTTTTGTAGAATTTAACCCTAAAAAGGCATATTACAATTCCCTCATATTTCTCCTATGATTATGTGAACCTCAAAACTAAAGGAAAACCTCAACAATGAAGAAATTGTTCACCTGAAAGCCCTCTGCTGCATCAGTTTGGGCAAAATCACCCCGGACAACGACAGGGCCATCCCGACCTGACATTAAACAAGCCAACATTTAAAATAACAACAACGATTTTAGAAACGTTTTCTCTATTAATAACGAGTATAGTATGGGCAATTCTCATGTTATTTAACTGCCTCTGGTTATCGGTGAAAGCAAGAGAAGTAGGTGAACTCTTAACGTTGGTCATAATGTTCTTGTAAAGTGATATTAAATAGTCTAAACAAATAGCGTTATTATATACCTGCTCAGATCATTCACGCCACACCAATGTCATGCACACATCTGCGTCACAACAAAGCGACGTTTGCTCTATTTCTTGTATTGATTCAATGGCAGCGAACTGAGCTCATTCGCGCCACCTGCGGTGCTGGAGGATATACACCGCCTTAGCAAGAGACTTGATTAAAGGGGTCATATGATGCTTTTTTAAAGATCATTATTTTGTGTATTTGGTGTAACAGAATATGTTGACATGCTTTAATGTTCAAAAAACACATTATTTTTCAAATACTGTACATTATTGTAGGTCCTCTATGCCCCGCCTCTCTCAAACGCTTCGTTTTCTACAAAGTCCCTCCTTCCGACAAGCGCAGTCTGCTCTGATTGGCCAGCTGACCCAGTGCATTGTGATTGGCCGAACACCGCAAGCACTCGTTGGAAATGTAACGGCCCTTACCATAATCGCAAGTGTCAGCTTTCAAAATAAATGTAAAGACAGAGCCCTAAAGGGGAAAAGAGTCGCGTGACAGACTCAGTGATGAAGCTGGTATGTGTTTGCAGTACACAAGCCACGGTTAAGACAGCTGACTCCACTGTGACGTGACCCTGTCTCTCTCTCCAAAGAGAAAGGAAAACTTGAAATCACATCATATGACCCCTTTAAAACAAATACAATTACTTTTTTTTTTGTATTACCCCCGGCCTATTTTCTGTATTTATTTTTAAACTCTCTTTTATTTATTTATTTCCACATGTGTTAATTTACATAATTATTATTTACATCCAAAAATAAATTTAGGAGTAAATTTAATTAAAAATGTATTTGTTTTATCAAGTCATGCGTTTCTTTATTTATTTGTGTTATTTATTTGTTTGTTTGTTTTCTGCAAGCTTGTGGCCCCATCCAGCTGCGGGCCTTGATGTCAATGGAGCAAACTTGCAAAAACATAATATACATAGATGCATATAGAATCAGTAAGCAACAAGACATTTTATAAAATGGTTTTAATTCAATTATTATTTCAAAAATAATTTGATGAAGTACAGAAAACTAAAAGATCAGGCTTTAAATTGTATGTAGAGTACAGAAAGCAAGTCAGAGAGCTTAGTTATCTGAAAAAAAAAAAAATAGTTATATATGTCCAAAAAATAAAATCAGTGCATGATCTATATATGCATGATCTACATGATACCATAAATATTGCAACTTACAACAAATCATTTGTTTTTAAAATGTTCAAAACAATGCAAAAAGGTACAGAATGTGTAGCTGATATCAAAAAGCTGATATAGCTTACTGACTTTTGCAAGAGCTGAAAATAACTTCAACTGAAAGTAGAATTGCTTGTTTACCATTTTAATAATTCACATACACATAGGCCTATCATATTATTCATTCATTCACATCTTAATGTCTGTTATAACCTCTGACAATATTTTGAATTCAACAGCTAGAGGTCATTATTGGACTACAAGTGTAACAGAACTTTGAAGTCTGTGGTGGTATAAAAAAAATAAGAAATTAGAAATCATTATTAGTCTGTTTTATCCTTGAAAATATGTTCTCTCTAAATAAAATGAGACATTATAAGCACCTCAATGCAGATGAGGTTTACACAATCTGGTTACACAGTCAGTCACTGAGAGCCAGTGTGGAGATCATAAAAATACATGTCTAGTGTTATTTGGTTAGGGATAAGGTTAATCTGTTTGGTTTGGTGTTAGGATTAAGATGGTTATTGTTGGTATCGAGGTAAATTGGTAAAATAAAGGGTTCAATAACAAGTAATTTGGTAGGGGGTAATAAACTATTACCAGTGTTGGGAAGGTTACTTTGGAAATGTAATAGGTTACAGATTACAAGTTACCTTACTTAAAATGTAATAAGTAGTGTAACTTTTCAATTACTTTATTAAAGTAATGTAACATTCCGTTACATGTAACTAGTTACTCCCCAACACTGACTATTACACAAAGACATCTACAATCTGAATAGCTTTCCGTTTAGGAGGTCTAATAGTTAGTTGGTTAGGGTTAGCTGGTTTAGGCGTGTTCCAAGGCCACGCCTCTTTTCCAACATCCGGGACTTTTAGCGCGAAGCTGGAAAAAACACCTGACTTTCAGGAACGACCGTTAACAGCGTGTGGCGGCATTTCCCGCCATTCACGGTCTTTTGTCAAAGAAATTAAACTAATGCTAGCGGTGATATGCTGCTTTTAAGCCTCTTGTGAATTAACGAGAGCCGTTTTCAGGGGAGCTTGAGGTGCCGGACAGTGTCAGTTTGTGGCTGTCACGCACGCACGCACGCGTGCTGCTCTCGCTCAACGGAGGCGCGCACGTGACGCGCGCTCGCTCTCTCTAGTCAGCGGGAACGCGCCCGCGTCCCAGTCAGAACCGACCCGAGTCTCGAGCGGGACAGTGACGAACAGAAACGGTAAGAAACCGGCCCTTACGGGAACCGACTGTCACGAAAGTCCAGGCAGGTCACTAAACTGTAATGTGTGAATTAACGGCACGAGACTTGAGTGACAATTACACACTTTATGTCTTTGAGGACAAGCTAGCAAGCTAACCGCTAACTAGAGTCATAAATATTGAATTTTACTTAGCACATTTATAATTCATAATAATTACACATATTTAGCTTTATGTGGTGGATACTTAATCTGTTTAATACTGAAGCGTGCTGGTTATTTATTTGTTTTCAGGAAAATAAGTGCTTTAAGTTAGTTTGTCACGCAGCTGAATGAGTGCTGGTTTATATTTAGCCCCTCAGCAGAAATATCAATATAAATATAGATTTTTATTTATAGGTTTATTTACATTGAAATGTAATTATGAGATCCTGACACATTCAACAAGCATGATATCGTACGCACAATGCTTTGGTAAAACTACTCTCGTTTGTTTATTTAAATAATTTGCTTGTTAAATGTCGTTGTATAAATTAATTTAATGACTAAAGAGCATGTAAGAACAGACGAGGCTGCATTATTTGAAGAATCAAACTAATTAGTCTTCGGTGCCTGTGATATTTCTCTGCTTTGTCACATTATATTATGAGGTTCGGTTGTGTGTCTGGTGTTAATCAGCTTTGAGTCCAGACACACATGACTAAAGTCTCTATTTGTGGGTGTGTGAGATAGTGTGAGAGGCCAGGTTTATCTAACCTACATTATCTAGCCTACATTTGAAATGTTTTATGAAATAACACACTAAGATGCAGAGTTAAGTCTAATAGACCTGCATAGAAAAAAATGACTGCAATTTTCTCTGCTGTGTGCTGTTAGATTGCTTTATTGTCTCAACAAACGGGTCATTAAGGTTATATTTTACACAAATAGACCACCTTTGTGAGAAGAGACCATAAACGTCTCATTCAGTGTTTTCTACATGCACCGTGAAGTTGCTGCTGACATGGGGACGCCAGGATCAGGACGAAAACGGGCCCCAATTAAAGACCGTTTCTCAGCCGAGGATGAGGCGCTGAGCAGCATCGCCAGAGAGGTAAGAGCTGTTCACCTGTAACCCCTTTTTCTCACTCATGTCATCTTGTGGCTGGTGGTTTCCTGTAACCACAATAAAGGAAGCATTCACCTAGAAACTCACCCTGATGTTGTTGTTACAAACCCAAACAACTTAATTATGCATATATACAACTAAATCATACAGTGATTTTGGACTGTTAAGCAATTAAAAAGACAAGCAAGTCATACTTCATGGAAAACAGACTGAAATTCAGTCATTATTTGCTCTTCACTGTAGCTTACAAATCTCATTTGCAGTTCCACATGCATGTCTGGTTACATGACACAAGAAGCAGTGGCTTTTGCTGCCTTTGCAGCTGGTGAAGTTATGAATATGGGACATTACAAAGCAACATGACCCAGCCCAATTAATCTGCATGCAAAATGCCTTTTTTTTTTTTTTAAACAAAGCCCTATACATGCTGTCATATGAACAAGCAGCGATGATACAGAATTAAGTTTCACAAACCTTATGTAAACACAACTCTGGACATCACTGAAAGCTATGATAACTTTCAGTTCAGTATGTGAGTCAGATGTTGATTCTGTAACCGCTCTTGGTGGATTCAGTATATTTGTGTAGCAGTGTTTTCCCATCATTGTATGCGTTCTAAATAGGTAGGATACTCCATCAAAGACATTGGAGTGTACTAAAGGTGCTGTAAGTGATTTGCTTTTTTGAAATACCAGACACAAAATGTCCCAACTACTTGACAGATATTACAGGAATATGTGTACCTGCCTCTGTGACAGCCTTAGGCTCTGTAAACAGCAAAGAAGACTCAGGGTAGCGGCCAACACCTTGTAATCAGAAACACTCTCCATCTGTCAATCATTGTGCCTGTTTGGTTTTGCTGACGTTGAATTTGCTGGCATGTCTTTGAAAGGTGGTGTTTTGGAGAAAGGGCGTGTTATGACATCTCAAATGGGGATCTTTACTGAATTTAAGTGACTGTCCAAAATGAAAATATTAACCCTGTAAAGCCTGACATTTGAAATAATATTTAGAAAAATTAAATTTTTGAAATGGAACAATTTGTTTAGATACAGTTTGAAGAATAGTGTGCATATGCGTTTGATGTTATTTATCTTATTTGATACATCAGACTTTTATGGCCCATGTAGTATGATATAGTGATGATGTGAAGCTCATACTGGAGAAGGAAAAAAAATATTCTGAAAAAAATATGCAATTTGATTCAGTTGTTACTTATATGACCAAGATGTTGAAATGTTTGTAATGTCAATCAATGAGAATTTTATAACATTATAACAGACTACTTGCATAAAATGCATATAAATGTCAGTTGTCATGAATATATCTTCCAATAATATGTCTTAAGATGATTACGATATTAAAATGCTTTGTTTTATTATCAAAGCTCTGTAGTTTTCATTGTGGGGGCAAAACTTAATGTAATACAAATGCAATACAATGATGATTGAGATGTTCAAATAACTACTTCTCAAAAGGTTGATGTATCATATTTGATACTTATGTTTTAATATGATTTTTATTAAAAATGATGTATGGATAATTAGTGCTGGGCAGTATGACCAAAAATTTATATGACGGTATTTTTCAAAATTAT